TGTTCAACTCATACAACAACAACAAAAAAGCAAACAATCCAATAAAAATGGGCAGAGGACTTGAACAGTAACTTCTCCCAAGAAGACATACAAATTGCCAACGAACATGAGAAAAGATGCTCAACATCGCTAGCTGTTAGGGAAATGCAAATCAAAACCACAATGAAATACCATCTCACACCTGTTAAAATAGCTGTTATCTACAGGACAAGTAATAACAAGTGTTGGAGAGGATGCGGAGAAAAAGGAACCCTCATACATTGTTGGTGGGACTGCAAATTGGTACAGTCACTATTGAAAACAGTATGGAGTTTCCTCAAAAAACTAAGGATTGATCTACCATGTGATCCAGCAATCCCTCTACTGGATTTTTACCCCAAAGACTTGAAACCCACATTCAAAAAGATATTTGCACACCGTGAATAATAGCAGCATTATTCACAGTGGCTGGGACGAGGAAGCAACCGAAGTGTCCTACAATAGATTATTGGCTAAAGAAGCTGTGGTACACATATACAATGGAATATTACTCTGCCATAAGAAGAGATGAAATACTGCCATTTGCGACCATGTGGATGGACCTTGAGATAATCATAATGAAATAAGCCAGACAGAAAAAGTTGAAAACCACATGACATCACCTATATGTGAAATATAAACCTAAAAGCAATAAAACAAACAGGACAAACAGAGACTCATGGACATGGACAGTAGACTAGTGGTTACCAGAGGGGAGGGGGAAGGGTGGAAGTAGGTAGGGTAAAAGGGGTCAAATATGTGGTGACAGAAAGAAATCTAACTATGGATGGTGACCATATAATGAAATATACATATATCTTACTGCTGAATTGTACACCTGAACCTTAACTGGGTTTCATTAACCAATGTCACCATAAGGAAGGAAGGAGTGGAAGGGAGGGAGGGAGGGAGGAAGGGAAGGGGATGGGAAAGGGATGGGAAGGAAGGAAACCTAGAATTCAAGGTTGGAAATAATTTTGAAAAATTTTAAGGCACTATTTCCAGTAGTGCTTTTTAAGTCCAATGTCAATTAAAATTTTGATCCTTTGTATATAAGCTTTTTTTCCTCTGAAAGCTCTTCAGATCTTCCCTTTTCCCCTTTGTTTTTGTTTTTAACCTCACCATGATGAGCTTATTAGCATGCATCTTTTTCAGTCCACTGCAGTAGGCATTGATAGGCTCTTATAATCTGGAAACTCGTCTTCAGTTCTGGGAAGTAATTACCTTGTGTTTATAATTTTCTTCCCCTCTTTTTTCTTCCCTTTCTCTTTTTCCACTTACCTTTTTTCCTGCTTTCTGGGAGGTTTACTCAGTTTGTTCTTCTGATGCTTCTGTTACATTTTTATTTCCACTCTTCTTTTTATAAGTTCACACGCACTTTCTTGAGGGATGAATGTACTCATACACACGCGCACTCACACACGTACACTTAGTTGTGTGTTTGCATGTTTCATGGATGTGGTATCTTCTTTTATCTCTCTGAAGACATTAAGTATAATTTGATTTTAGAGTTTCTTGTGCTTCATATATTACCTATATTTCCTCAGACTCACTTTTCTGTTTGCCGATTGGTTTGTTTGGGTCTCTGCCTTTTACATTAGAAGCGCTCCTCAAATGCCTGTTGATTCTTGGCTCTTCGTTCATATTTAAGGGTGAGGCTCCAGAATCTAGTGACCGGATGCTAACTGTGTGGTGGGACTTATTGAGTGGTAGGCCTCATATTAAGTGATCAGGAAGAGACCTAGCTGTTTTCACTGGGGACTTCAAAATGTCAGTATCTCTAGATCTCTTCTCCTAGGTTAGGTCTTCACCTGGTTTGGGGATGGCAATTTAGGGTTCCGACAACTCCTTGTGCAAACTTCCACCAATTTCTATTTTAAGCCCTATACCATTGTTTCGCCATCAGATATACCTGATCCCTTCAATTCTTGAGCTTTTCTAAGATCTAGGGAAAGCTTTTATAAATCATTACTTGACTCATAGTGGTACAGAAGTGAATAACGGTAGTAGCTTTGGTGCTGGTAATGTTAACATTTCTGAATCACTCAGGTAGAATTACTCTAATTTTCTTTTAAATTTTCTTTAGATATTTACATATTATAAAAGTACAATGTTCTTATTGTACGGATTAAATAATTCTATAAATGTATAAAGAAAAAAGGTTCATCTTCTCGTAGTGCTCCTCCATTCCTTCTCCCGAGGTAATTTATATTAACTGACAGTTGTCTATCTTTCTAATACCTTTTTTACTGTCATACAAACATACACAAAGATGTTTTGATCATGGCTTAAAATAAGAAAAGATTCATACTCTTTGTGGCTTGCTTTAATCATTCAGTATATCATAACCATCCCTTCCAGTTAATAGAATAATATAGTCTCATTCTTTTAATAACCAAATATTATTTCATATTATGGTTATACCATAATTTAAACTATTGTTTCTAATGGGGGGGCGGGGTTCTTGTTTTTGGTTTTTTATCTTTTACTGTTCCAAACAGTTCTTTAATAAATATCCTTTCATATATCTTTGTATACACTCACTCTTCTTTTCCTTCTCAAATCTCAAAATTTCCATTTTGATTCATTTATCATTTGCTTATAGTACTTTCTCTACCATTTTCCTCCAAAAGAGTACCAGATCTTGCCTGTCCAAAAATGTGTCCAGTCAGTTCCCCAATACTAGATGGTAGTGGATGGCCCAGCAATTTTTCCTCTTATGGGCTGGGTATCTTACCAGTTGGTAGCCTATCAGCTGTCTGCTTATAGGTCTCTCTGGCTGTGTGTGGCAAGTCCTTTTCTAGCTGCAGGGACTGTACATGAAAATCCACATCTTCCACTGTCTGGCCTCCTGAGCATGCAGTGAAACCTAGGCCTTAGCCTCAGCCTAGAAGAAAAATCTAGTCTTCCCTGCCATCAGTTCCCTGGTTCTTCTCTTGCTTGAGAGAGTGTAGCCCTCCCTGGTTTTCTTCCTTGGAGATCTCACGAGAACCTGGGACCTCAGATGGACCCTCCTCAGCATATCTGCCTTTGTTCTCATGTTCTTCCATGAAGATAATTGGGCCAGAGATGAGGTCAGTAATTTGTGCTTTGACCATTGTCTTCCCATAATCTCTTTAGAAGCAATACAATATGTTTCACATATTTTCAGCATCACTCAAGAATATTCTATTTCCTATTGCTTTTTATAATATCAGTATCTAAAACACTCCCCTGTGTGTTACATATGAAAATGGATACTGACCCTGCCCTCTAGGATTCTAATATCCAGGGAGATAAGACTGTTGAAAGTTAACCTGGCAGTGATACCAAAAGATACTGAGATTCTTTTTAAAAAGACATCAAAATAGTCACATTGAAGAAACTTTACAAAGAGTGACTTTTTTCCGTCTCTCTCAGTCGTTTAATGAATCCGTGACCTTTGTCACCTGGCTTAGAAATCTAGCATAATGTGTGTCCTAAAATCTGCTTGGTTGGTCTCAATTGAATTTTGGAAAATAATCTCTTCATAAATTGAGGGCTGGTTATATATGAATATTTTGTGAAATTTTATATTTCTGGTTCTACTTTTATGCTGTAATTCCCTACTTCCCTCTCAACAGTTTTTCCCGATTATGGATATTTTAGTAGCTGGCCTCTTTTAAAACCATTTAAAGAAACTCTTATAATATGTGACTTGTCTGTTAATGTCTTATTTGTGTTAATGTGTTAATGTGTTACTTTGAAAAAAAACAAAAAAAACAAAAAACAGGAAGTGGCTTCTTGCCGAGCCCAAAAAGAAATCAGAAAATGACAGTGGAAATGGAGTGGTCATTCAGAAAAAGAACAATGGGAAGGTGTCTTGGGAAGTGTTTTTTGTTGTTGTTTTTTTTTTCATTTTCATGCCCAGTGCTTTTCAAGATGATGTTGTTCTTAGTTTTCTGTTCAGTTTTAAGGGTATGATGGATCTATGCAGAATAATCTTAAATGCCACTTTAATTAGTTTCTCTTCTCCCTTGCAGCATTGCTATGGCAACAAAAGAAAATATGACTTCACAGAGAGGAATGTTGAAATCAATTCAGAGCAAAATGAACACTTTGGCCAGTATCCTTTTTGAAAGTTTGAAATCTGTGTGTTTTGGGGGCGGAAATATCTATGTGCGTGCTTCCCTTTCTCTTATACACACACACTCCAGCAGGTTGCCATCATCAGTAGCAGTAAAGGCCATCACTAATTACGTAACATGAATATGCCTTGCACTCCTACTTTGTGAAAGTTCATACTCATTACCAGAGGTTTATTAGTAGTAGATTGAGAAAAAATTATGTGTGAATTTTCAAAAGCTCTCATATTCACGTTAGAACTCCACAGTATACATTATTCTTACCTAACATCATAAATCATATCATTTTCCTTTTTTCGGCTTGGTGAATATGTCAGTGATAGATGCATAGAAGGGGAGGAAGAAGACAGCCATATGCGTAGCAGATGAGTTGGAACTAACTGCTCATAGAGTATTTTCATCATGATTTGTTATGCACAAGCTGAACTCTAGGATAGATTTGCTGCTTGTTTGTTGTGACCTATACTTTTTTAATTCTTCTGTTTTCCAATTTAAATTAGTGTTACTGATACTTCTGAGAAACCCAACGGGGAAACTGATCAACCTGCTACTCTGAGACATTTTATCACTTCTCTGAGAAGTCAAGCCTTTTAGGAAAAAAAAGTTTCCTTCCCCAACTACTAAGGGGGAAGGGACCTATATAATTTTCAAAAGTTGAGTATCTTCTCTTAGATAATTTAAAGTCACTTTTAGTTTGATACTTTATTTGCCTAAGGGAAAGAATATTCTGAAATATGTTGGTATTTTTTAGGTTTTTGTAAATTTTGTTCTTGCCTTGTCACCCTAAGTATAAAATTTTCACACATCCAAACTTATTTATATTTTATATAGGGCAATATAGTTTACAGAGACTGATACATACATTATCTCATTTTACCATTATCACAAATTACAGTGATTCTAAAAGAATGTGTGTTGAAAAAAATCAAATAAAATGTGTGTGAGTTAGTCAGGACTCCAGAGAGAGGTAGTAACAAAAACCAAATTCAGACTGACTCAAGGGGAAAAAAGAGGGAATTTGTTCATGTTTGTAAAATTCAGGGGTAGAATTTGGCTTAAGGCATGGCTGGATTCACGGGCTCAGATTTTATCAAGAGTCTGCCTTTCCTTTCTCTGTTCCCCCCAACTTACTCCATCTCTTATTTCTGTTTTCCTGTGTGTTGACCTCATTTTCAGGCAGATTTTCTCTTCATGGTGGTAGAGATGGCTACGAGGGTTACCTCCTATCAGTTCAAAAATCCCCATGGAAAAAGATGTCTTTTCTGACAGCTGTGGAAAATGTCCCAAGAGGACTTTGCTTGCCCCCAGCTTGAGTCACTGTCTATTCCCAACCAAGTCACTGGCAAAGGGAAGGGATGTATCCTTGCTGGCCCATCCTGAGGTTGTATGTACACCTGATGGCAGAGGGCAAGGTCAGCTCCACCCTGTTACATGGACTGAATTAGATTATTATAGAAGGGGAGAGGGAAGAGTCTCTAAAGGTAAATTGGACAGAAATATGTTCACTATAGACAGGGTTTACTAATGCCAAAAGTTTTCATACTTTCTCTAAGGGGATTGTTGAAGCAAGGGAAGAGTAAGCATTTGCCTATATGACATCTGTACCTTGCAAAAGTTTTTGCCTGTTACTTCATACCTGCCTCTTGTTCTACATTTTAAGGTTTATTTCTGTAAATTGTTTTTTTTTTTTTATTAATTCAGGAAACACATTAATGCGTACAGCGTATAAAGCTCTGTTCTAGACGCACAGAGAAATTCAGTATCAGAAGTAAACATAGTCCTAATCATACAATGTGTAGAATATATAAATATACAAGTATAGTCTCCACTAGGAGTCATTTTGTTACAGGAAAATGCAGTGACGATTCATGGGGAGTAGGTTTTGTTCCAGCTCTTTACCATCCTAGGTGATTTTGTTGGTGATTTTCTTGACCTTGTTATAATACCTCTGTTAACAAAGAGGATGCACCTGCAGGTGTATAGTCAGCACTGCTAGAAATGCAAAACAGTATAGGATGCACAGGCATTTACTTTGGTTTTGCAACATACAAACAAGTAAGCGTATTAAGATACTTTGAAATACTAAGTAAAAATATTTTAAATAGTTCATAGTGCCTGATTATACAGACCCTGGAGTTGGTTCCCACCACTTGCCTAAATCCAAGGGTGCTTATCATCCTGTGGGGAGATCAGGTACTCTTCAAAACCCTGTGGCAAAACTTTTCAGTCTCCTGAGAGAAGGGATAAAGAGAGACAATAAGAGAAAGAGACATAATAAGAGAGAAGGAGAGAGGAAGAGAAAAGGAACTGTGGGATGGAATGGGGGTGGTGGTGGCGATGGTAGCTGGCTGTACCTACGCCTCTGTTCCTGACTGCACTAGCCCACCCTGACCTCACTGAAGCCTGGCAGTAATCCCTCATTACATGGTAGTTGTCGTCATTGTTATTTTCTTCTCCCTCTCTATTAATTTTTTTTTCTTTTCATTATTCTTACTCATGTACTTCAATGTACTGGGAAACCTGAATTTGTTTGGGACCTGGGCATTTCCAGTTTTGACATGTGTGCTTGCTAAAGACTCAGTGTGATTTTCTTCCCATCACTTATTATTTCTGGACTCCACTGATCTCTGTTTTTGTGATTTCTGTGACTTTTCACTAAAGAGGCTTCTTTCAAATATGACCTTAACAATTCCCCAAAGATCGTTTTCCTGCTGTGAACAGCCTGATCCAGCGGATCAACCTTAGGAAGCGGCGAGACTCACTCATCCTGGGTGGTGTTATTGGTGTCTGTACCATCCTATTGCTGTTGTATGCTTTCCATTGATGGAACATCTTCAGGGACTCTTGACAACCACCACTTTTATGCCCTGATCTAGACTAAGGAAAAGTAGGAAGAAGAAGTTGACTGTCCTGATAATTAGCCTGACCTGCAGGATTAATTCACGACTGATAGTGATGGACTCAGTGATGTGGTCAGGGTGAGCTGAAGCCACAGTTTTTCTGTATTGTCTTTTCTAACACACACTTCCTTATGTTTTTAGTTAAAAACAAAACAAAACAGAGAAAGAAAAAGTTTTCGGTTGCTTTTGTCTCCCCAGGAGGTAAGTTAACCAATCAGAAACAGAGCTTCTGTGCTTCAGTGACAGTGTGGAAGGCCGATGACAAGCCAGGTCTTAACAGCTGGATTCTTCAGAAAACCAGGTCTCTCTATATCCAAAGACTGCTTTCCTTTCAGCCACCAGATTGGGTTGTGAATAAAAATAGTTCTTGTCCTTCTGTTTTACACTTATGTTGAGAAATCACAGGTCATTTCTTGATAACCTGTGCTAAAAAGTTTCTATTCTGAGTCCCCAACTCTTTTGATATTCAAGAAAAATTACATTTTTCATAGATTCTTTGAGATGGTGACAGGCCAACTTCAACAGAGTTGAGGTTATCTGAAACAAGACAAACACTGCAAAAAAAAGCATTTTTTTTTTTAAGTGTACACGCACTGGGGTTAGCTGTATTGCTGGGAAAACATCAAGAACGACAGGCTTTTTTTTTAAGGATTCAGTTATTGCTTTTATTAGGTTAATATTTGCTACTATTAGATAATGAAATCTCAGTTGTACCATGACAAAAGAAACTAATGGCCAGTGTTTGTCAGCACCCCCAGCTCTGCCGCATCATATCAGGATTAACACTGGTCATTGAGTGAGGGGACTGCTCAGGTTCAGTGAGATCTACCCAGCATGCCACATGAAAAAAGACATGGAGGGGTCTCCATTTAGATGATTCCACTTGTAAATGCTTCATGATTTATGAACAGAAGTTTTAAGAACTACTGCCCAATGTACCAGGAATTCTGTGTCCTTTGAAAACCTATTCATTCCAAATCTATTGAGCTTTTCCAAACATCCAGAGAATGGTTTCACTGTTGAAGGTGCATGTGACAGAATCTGTCTCCATTTGCACCTGCCCTTCTGTTATCATCCCTGGACAGTGACAAAATTTTAAGCCACCCACCAGTATTCCTTTGTTTAACCATTTCTCAGTTTCTGTAAATTCATTACTTGTCTAACTGAACTATCATAAATAGTTTGAAGACTTCCAGCATCTACACTCCTCACCAAGAAAGAAGGCTGCTTCTCACTATTGGAATTTATTATGGTATTTACAGTTTGGCTTTAGATTGTGCCATGGGGAATAAAAGGTTATTAGCATGTAGTTCTTAACTACATCTTAATGTGTCAATGATATTGTTCAGGTGAACTTAATATACAGGATGATAGGTAGACTAATCCATGGTCAGATACAGAGGCTGAGAAGTTTTTCATTCTGGTGTCAAAGTTTTATTATGTTCTGGTTGTGAAGGGCATTTGATATATATTTTTTTAACAATGAGGTTTATTTTTCTAAATGTGGATTGATTGATCAGTAGTTGATTGGGGATGCCCTTAAAAGAAAGTTTAAGTTTTCCCAGTGTGAACATTAAAAGATCAGAGAAATAAGTTCATTTATTAAATTCTCTGTCGGGAGAACAAAACTTTTCTCCCCTGATATTTTATTATCTTTGATTTTTCAAAGGGCTTTGATTGGTGGTTGTGCCTCAGCTAGAATATGGAACTTTGGTTGCTATATAGTTGGCATTTATAAAATCTGAAATATAATAAAGTTATTTATTTAATTATTCTACCAGTCTTTTTCACTGGTCTGATTATTTGGTGCATTCATTGAAGCTGATTGTGTGACAGTAAAACTAGAACCTGAGCTAGTCTAACCTTCTGCACCTAAGCAAGCAAACACTTTTGATGACTGATGAGCCTTTCCATTAAGGTTCTGCTTAAATGAAGTAATAGAATTGTGTTGGTTATTTTCTTTATGAAAATAAAGAAACTAGTTCTTCCAAGGAAGTTGAAAAGGCGTGGTGTAGATGTTGGTGTCAGATCCTTCTGACTAACCTCCCAGTGCTGTAGCCCATAGTGAGGTGACCCAGGGCCAAATGTAGATAGCTAGGACAGTGCTCATTCTTTCCTCTTACGGTTCCTTCGTTTGCAGAAAGAAACATTAGAGCAAGGAAATAGAAGTATGCCACTTACAAGTAGAGGCTCAATTTTGTATCCCCTGGTAGCAGATTTGAACTCTGTTTCATCCCATTTTACTTTTTTTTAAAGTCGTCTTGGTTTTCTCTTCTTTCTTGCTGTTCTTATAGACCTGTTGGTAGGCTCAGGAGTCAACAGTAAGCTGCTTGTCAGAGCCAGTCAGAGTTGGGAGGTCAAAAGGTATTTTCTATTCGTGGTCCCAAATGTTGCCTCTTAGGGTAAATATTCTCCCTGAGCTATTGTCTGATATAATGGAGCTTTCCTTTTGAGACTTTTTTTGTAACCACTCAAAACGTTTCATTTCACATAAAGTTTGAAAAATCATGGCAACATAAAGGACAGAAAATTCAAAAAGGTATACTTCTGAGATTTTCTTTTAACATGTGCTGATAGCTTTAGTAAAAAATGTTTAATAACTCTGTTACTCAAGTTCAAGCACAGATAGCCAGGTGCTTTACTTGATCTGTGCTTGCTCTCTACATTCTTTTTTATTATTACTATTAGATGCTGAAGGATTTCCTATAAACCTGCATTTCTCACTCTTTATTTTCTAATATTAGGAAAAGGGCTTTCCTTCTCCACAATTCCTCTGTCCTTTATACCAAAATTCACTTTTTCCATACTGGCCAGTACTGAGATCAGGCATGGGATTAAGATCCTGAGAATGGAGATGGATAATGAGAGGAGACATCATGGGGGCACTTTTTGTACCTGGAACCAAATAATATTTAATTCTTTACTATTGGATGCTGCATACATCCTAATAGAAAAGTGTACTTATTGAGCCTTTTGATATAATGACTTTTAGAATTGAGGTACCTTGGACTTGTATTCCCACTGTTAATTTTTTATTTCACTGTTAATAATCTCAACTTGATGAAAAGTACTTTAAAGAACTGGACTAGGCTTTATGTTTTTCTAATACCTCGTGTGATCATTCGCTAGATGTGATTTCTTGGAAGTAGACTGGGCTTTCTAACTTGCAATATTAAGCTATTGAGGATAAATGGCCACATCTAGTGTTACACTGAATTTTGTGGCAAATGTAACTGAAGAGCAAATGGAGTCTACTCAGAAAATTAAAATGGTTATGTTCCATTCTCTTTTTGAGTTAGGGGTTGTTTAGCCTGGTCTCCAAAAAGATGCAGAGCTTTTCATCATGGTCTTTATAAACTAATAGACCTGTTGATAGGCTCAGGAGTCAACAGTAAGCTGCTTGTCAGAGCCAGTCAGAGTTGGGAGGTCAAAAGGTATTTTCTATTCGTAGTCCCAAATGTTGCCTCTTAGGGTAAGTATTCTCCTTTATAAATCTGTGTATCCTTAAGTTTTACAGGGGAAAAGAAAATGAGGAAAGAACAAGTGAATCTTAAGGATGTTTATTGGATCAGAAGCTGAGACAAAGCTGAGCCATGTCTTGAGAGGTCTTTCTCATTTTCTTTGTACCCAAGGTCTCACTTTAGTATCAAAGTATTTGCATTTATTGCCATCCTGTTAGCTCTTAGAGAGGGAGGGAAATCAATTCCAATCACACTGTACCATGGTGAAAGATGTTTCCTCGTGAAAAATGCCAATACAAATTTTCAAAAATCTATTCCAAATGCACTTTCTAATGTTTTGCTTTTAAAATGGCTTCTTGGAACCAGTTGTATTGTATTTGTATTTAATTTTTGTCCTCATCTAAATGCACATTTTCTGACTGTATAGAAGAAGCTTTGTTATGTAATTTAATAATAAATTAGAAATCTAAATGGTCGTGCCTGTGATTGTTTGTATTGGAACACTGCCATCGAGATGGTTTGGGATCATGATGTCCTAAAAAACTCAGGGTAAAACAATACAGGTTCTAAAAAGCTATCAGCTATCACTCAAAATCATCATATGAATGTCCCAGGAAAAACTTAGCCCAAGAAGTGGAGAATCTCTTATCAAAATGAAATTACTAAAGGAATGATGGGAATGTAAAATTTAGAATTTAGCAAAAAAAATGTTCCCACCCTCCTTACATAATGACTTTTTATTCTATAGATCAGAACTTGATTCTCTACTCCACTAGAGAATTTGAAAATTCCTTATTTCCCATTACCTCTCCAAATGTTATGTTTTCTGCATCCTTTTCTTTAAAATAACAGTATAATTGGGGTATAATTCATATACCATAAAATGCGCTCTTTTAAAGCATACATACAGGTTTTAGTATACTAGTTGTGCAACCAGTCCCACTGTCTAACTTCAGAACATTTTCTTCACCTCAAAAACCCTGTCCCCATTAGCAGTGACTCACCATCCCCCTCTTCATCATTTGTATCTGACCACACTATTCTTCCTTTCTTGCCCACCCCAGCTTTTCCCTCCTATCCATTCACATAGCCTCTAAAGTGCCACCTCTTCCTTGGGTTCCTTTTTTTTGGCTACGTGACATGTTCCTAGTCCTATATGTACACACCCCCACAGAGACATACATAAAATCCAACACCACTTAGTGAGGTAGCCTTATTTTTTACAGATAAGGAAACAAGCCCAGAAGGATTAAGTAATTTGCCCAAAATCAGACTGAACAATAAAGCAAGGATTTGAATCTTGAGGGCTCTTTGAGGCCAAACCTTATGCTAGTTCCACAAAATACACTTTAAACTATACTTCATGATTAGGAGAGAAGCTATCAAAGAACCACCAGTTTTGCCTGATTTAAAGGCCACACATTTAGAATGTATTTAAAGCCCTGTGGTTTGATTATTTTCAAGGAGTGCTAACTACTAGCAAAACGCTTAATTTTTTAAAAAAAAGGACTTGTTTGTAAATGACTTTTCGTTTACAAGAACTAATACATTGAAGTCGTAGAAAATGTTTTGTTAGTGGCTTGATTTAAACCAAAATTTCAGCCCAACTCTTTGTACCTTCTAGTCTGGAAACAGGTTTTCCTAGAGATGGCTGACAAAGTACCTCAGCACAGATCCTTAGCCAGTGCCACTCAAACTAGGATAGTGGCGCATTTCTCTTCCAGGTGGAATGGCTTTGACAGGCAACCACTCCTATTTAACCTGGCCTTTCCTTGGGAAGAGATCTGAGGCTCTGCCCAATATGCCTTGTCTAATACCAGAGATGCCTCGAAGTAAAAACAGGTGGCTGCAGAATCTCATCAAAGATGTTCGCTATCAGGACATTTTTCTCTTGTTTCTCTACAGCAAAAGCCAGGAGAAAAACAAGTATAGTCCTCCTCCTGAAGATCCAGATGTGCTGGCTGAGTTGAAACAGAGAGGAAGGCACTTTAGCCTCATGTCTTCTGCTCCACTTGGCTAAGCTTTCCCACCTTGGCAGAGCAGCTTTGCTTGCAAAGCTCTTTATTACTTACTCTCTGAAGATGCTCAAAAGCTAAGAAGATTGGGTACTGAAATATTTTTTAGCCTACAGCATCTGGTATTCCTAGGTGGTCTCCCATCCAAGTACTAACCAGGCCCGACCCTGCTTAGCTTCGAGATCATTAAAATCGGTAAAGTAATCTTCTAATTTGTTACTCTCATCTGTGGTCTTTAGTTTCTTTCCTTGGAGATATGAAGCTCTCAGGAAACAGTCACTTTCTCTTAATTAGTATATTTCTTTTAGATATTTTCAAACATCCAATCGGTCTTTTACTATTGAAATTGTTTTCCGCTTGAGAGGGAGCACACAAAATGGTTGCTATCTACTTTTAACTCAGTGCCAAAAAGTGTGGTTTAAACATAATTATTTTCCCCCAAGTGACAAGTTATTTGTAAATGAATGTGGCACTTAATTCTTACAGTTCTCCCACTCATCATGCATCATATGCTGAGAATGTGGCATTCTGTGTTTTTCACCTCAGTCTCCATTTCCCTCTCCTGTTCCCGACACATGGCCCACAAGCCGGGGCCTTGTTCATTACTGGACTGCATGTAACAGCTGCCCTCTGTCCTGGATGCCTTGCTTCTCATATAACCCCTCTCAATCCACTCTGCACAGAGCTGAGTAGTTTATCTTCCTCAACAACTTACAACCTTTCGTCACACTGTTCAAGAATATCTGGCAGTTCCCTATTATCTGTGCCAGTGTTTTATAGTGAGTTAACACATGGAAGGCATGGCCAGCACTTTGTTTCATTCATACATCCATATTTACATACGTATGTACGTACGTACATACATACACATACAAACCAACAAAATCCTGTTCACTTAGTGAGGTGGTATTCTTTGACAGATAAGGAAACAAGCCCAAGAGAGCAGAGTACAGCAGGTCCTCAAATAATATCGTTTTGTTCACTATAATATTGGTGAGATGCCATAGGAACTTAACTCTTTTTTCTATCAATGAGCCTATGGTAAAATTGGTTTCATTATGCATCATTTTGCTTAAAATCTCAACCTATATCAGCATTAAGTAAGGACTTACTGTATTGTTAGCCATCAGCCGCCCTTTGCCTAGCTAGAGTTTCCTCATCCCGTGTGAACTATAATCAGTAGTGAAAAGAACAAGGCTTGGAGTCAGAAGCCCTATATTCTGGCTGTGGATCTGATACTTTGGGGCCATGGGCAATCATTAAATCACTCTGAGTTTGGTTTTCTCATCTGCAGAATGGATTCTAGCAATTTTATGCAATTGTTGAAATCCAATGAAGTCAAAGATTACAATGGTGTATAATTCCTCAGAACGTTCTCAACAAATAATGTGGGGGCGCAGGGGGTTTTATATTAGACCGCAGGTCCCTGGAGATCTAGGACAGTGTTCATCTTTATATCATGTGTATGAACTTTATGCAGAAACTCACATAACTCTTCTAAATTCAGTTAAATCTGACTCAGAGTCCACATCCTACTGGGCTTAGCAAAAAAAAAAAATCTTGGTCATAATTGAATCTCCTTTCCTTTGCCTCTTCGGTGTACAAAGTCCCCAAGAGTCTCACAGTCCAGAACATTTGGGACAGGCACTTCAATTCACACTGGACACCACCGATATACTCCCTCTTTGAGCCCACATAGTCTTCCTTGAAGCCACCAGCTGCTCTGCTTCTATGTCACTCTTGGGCACAGGGATCCCAGCCAAGAACATCCTGGGCCTGGGGTTCAGCCTTCCAGGTGCACCCTATCCCACCCCACAGCCATTTCCCTGAGGTGCCGACACTCCCAGGAGCACTGTGAGAGACTGGGATACTAGCAGGGAGCAAGTCACACGCTGATACCAGCGACCCTCCTCACCTACCACTTCCCGGTCTCCCACAGGGAGCTCTCCCACGGCTCCTTCAGTCTTCTCACTTTCCTCCCTTGCCCACCCCTCCCAGGATGAGCCACTGCTGTCTTAGAAACAGGGTACTGAGATGTCCTTTGTGGGAATGGGCAGGTAAAAGAACGAGATGCTAAATCCCTCAGTAACCCATCCCCGTGGTGGTGTTCTCAGTACCTGGCACATAGTAGGCTTAAGTGATTGTTGAGTTAAATGGAGGAAGGAATAAAAAATGCCACAAAGTTTAAACATTATTTTGTGTTTGTAAGCTTAGAACCCAAACCCGGCCCTCAGAGGTGATCCTGCCCCATGTCCTATTGTCCCCATATAGCTTGGAGGGGTGCCTCCCACAGAACTGTGATTTGCCCATCCTTAGAATCATGAAGTTTATGGTCAGAGTCCTTCCAGGGGTCTCAACTGGGAGCAATTTTGCCCCTCCCTCAGGGGACATTTAGCAATGCCTGGAGACATCTTCGGTTGTCACAATCAGGGTAGGGTGGGATAGATGCTACTAGTTGTTAGTAGGTAGAGGCCAGAGATGCTGCTAAATAACCTACAATGCACAGGACAGCCCTCCACAGTAAGGAATGATCCAGCCCAAAATGTCAGTAGTGCCAAGGTTGAGAAACCCTGGCTCAAATAGAATTCATATCAAAGTTGACAGTATTCCTCCAGGGGTGAAGATTACTCACATGGGTCCTGTGACCACCAGTTTCTCCGTATCACCCTTGACTAGCTCGAGCTGCTTCGGACGAAGCTGGCACACATACGGTCTTCGCTGCCCCTTACCCTGCTTTTCCTTCCTGCTTCACCCCATCACTTCTTCACCCCCACAGCTCACATTTGCACCATCCCAAGTGACTTGATGTTTCAAGGCCTTTATAAGGTTTCTCTTTTGGAATGCCCTCCTTTCCAAGTCTGCCTATGAGATCTCTTCTTTGTTTTTTTAAAAAAAAAAAAAAAAAACCCTACCTGTGGGGAGTAACGGCTTAACGAGCACGTGTTTCTTTTCGGGATGATGAAATATTTTGGAACTACAGAAAAGTGGTGGTCACACAACGATGTGAGTGTACTAGATGCCACTGAGTTGTATACTCTAAAAAAATAAATTTTATGCTATATGAATTTCACCTCAATTTTTTTTTTTATGCCTACAGCACCCAGTCTTCCTAGGTGGTCTCCCATCCAAGTACTAACCAGGCCCGACCCTGCTTAGCTTCTGAGATCAGACGGGATCGGGCTTGTTCAGGGTGGCAGGGCCATAGTCACCTTAATTTTTTAAAAAAGAAAGAAGACTACTTAATGACTTTTCCTCTGGGAAGACTTCCTGACCTGCTCTTCCTCGTTGCCTCCTATTTTCCTTTGCGCGCCCACGACCCCTAGCAATAAACATATTAGGTGCTCAGTAATTATTGAGAAAGTAGGAGAGATAAGTGGAAGGATTCAGTTGCCCTGCATTGAAGTGCGGTGGCTGTTAACACTTGGAAATGGATGTCAGATACTGTGGTCTTGTTAT